AGGCCTCTCAGAAATCTAAGTGTATTACATCAAGACTATTTCCTTTCTCAAACTTGCAATCTCACCAAAAAAGGTATCAATGTAGTCTGACAGGATCTATTTTCCATAAGCCCATGTTGATTGGCATTCATTACATTCCCCTCCTTTAATTCTTTATTAATTTTGAGCAGTAAAAGCCACTCCATTCTCTTGCTGGGACTGATGCTTGAATTACAGGCCTATAGTTACCCAGGTCATACTATGTACCCTTCTTAAACTCTGGCACACTAATAGCTTTGGTCCAGTCTTCTGGAACAGTAGCATTTCAGGACATTGAAATGAACACTCAGGGTATATCTAGACTACATGCCTCTGCCGACCAAGGCATGTAAATTATACATACCGACATAGTCAATGAAGCGGGGATTTAAATATCCCCCGCTTCATTAGAATAAAAATGGCCGCCGTGTTGTGCCAGCTCAGCTGTTTGTCGGCACGAAAAAGCAGTCAAGATGGGGATCGGTTGGCAAGGAAAGCCTTTGCTGACTGATCCTTTATGCCTTGGACTCCATCCACATTGCCTGAGATCCAATGCATGAGTTCTCCAGTGAGCTCTGTGGCCCTCTGGCACAGGGGATTTATGTGGTGTTCTGGACTTCAAGAGTGGTATTATGCTGCAGTGGCACTTTCTTGGTGCCACTCACCATATGCACAGAGATATAAGAACAACACTGTACCCATCTGCCTGGCATCACTAGCGAGCAGTGTCCACTGATCCTGATCAACCCCCTTTGCACGTGTAGACATACTGCAGAGCAGGATTACCCAGGACATGCCATAAGACCCACTGTTTCTCCCCCATGGGGTGACAATGGAACTAATCCACTAACACAGCTTGCCTTCAGGAGAGTCCCTGACGGTTTCAGCCCTATGAACAGCTTACTTGCTGAGAGAAGAGAACAACAGAGCATCACAGTAGTCATAGGGAACACAAGCACCAGGAAAACAACCCCATAATTGCCTCACCTCATATAATGATCATGGCTTCTCCCAAACACACTTTCCCTGCAGCTCTGCCCCAGCTAGGCCCAGCAGATTTCAGACAAACTGAGGGCTGAGCACTGTGCAGGGCATGCACAGAGTGCCAGGTGCACAAGACCAAGTGTTGTACACAAGAGGGTCTTCAATAGAAAGCTGCTGCACAGTCAGCAGGTCTCTCCTGCCTAGTGTGGAGCTAACTGCTCATTAGCATCAGGAGGTACATGCTTAAACACTGGTCATGTCAGACACAAAAATTCACCCTTGGCATTCTGCTCTTTTATTATCCCACCCTCTTTTGAGTAAGGTGAAGGGCCTGGCAGGAGGGCTGCACCTAGCATTTACCCACGTTCACATATACAGCCTGAGCTTGTGATGAGAAATGATCAGGCTCAAAAGGCACACAGTCCAGTCCTATAAGAACACATTTCATAATACTTGGCTCTTACACAGCGCTGGTCATCAGCAGACCTCAAAGGGTTGTAAAAAGGAGGGCAGGGTCATTCTTCTCATTTTACTGGTAGGCCAAATGAGGCCCAGGGAGGGGAAATGACTTGACCAAACCACTCAGCAAGCCAGTTCAGGAAGATTGCTCACATTTCCTGAGGGCCTGTCCTGAGCCCCATCCACTAACCATTTCCAGCACTGAAGATGTTTCCACAAAATCTTTAAAAGTATAAATTCCATGAGACTGCTTCAAACTTCTGAACCTCACCGGCAGCACTCAACAGTGCTGCATTTGGCTAGTTCATGAACATCAAACCATGAAACTGACTAATCCACTCTTATCATCCAGGATGGGATAAATGCAAAGAACAAACAAACAACACCAACGGGAAACAGAGTTTTTAAACATCACGGCTATGTCTACATTGGCCCCTTTTCCGGAAGGGGCATGTTAATTTCACAGGTCGTAATAGAGAAATCCGCGGGGGATTTAAATATCCCCCGCGGCATTTAAATAAAAATGTCTGCCGCTTTTTTCCGGCTTTTAGAAAAGCCGGAAAAAAGCGTCTACACTGGCCCCGATCCTCCAGAAAAAAAGCCCTTTTTCCGGAGGATCTTATTCCTACTTTGACTAAGATAAGATCCTCCGGAAAAGGCTTTTTTTCCGGAGGATCGGGGCCAGTGTAGACGCTCTTTTCCGGCTTTTCTAAAAGTCGGAAAAAAGCGACGGACATTTTTATTTAAATCCCCCGCGCATTTCCCTATTGTGATTTCAAAAATTACCATGCCCCTTCCGGAAAAGGGGCCAATGTAGACGTAGCCTACCAGATTTGAAAACTATCTGGTGTGTTAGCAAGGCAGTGAACACATTATAAATGTTTAGGGACAGATTTAGCAACATGCTCTGTCAGCACAAAGTAGCAATTCGAACTAGCGGGGTAGTGTAGACATACCCTGGGACTGGGATTTGTATTCTTCAACATATTCACTAACAGTCTAAAAGAGCACGTGCGGTGCACAGGGAAGCATAACAGTTTGGAGATACTCAAGAATGTTAAATCCAAAGCAGACTGAGAACAACAAAGGGATCTCCCAAACCTGGGTGGCAAGGCAACAAAAATGGCAGATGAAATTCAATATTGAAAAGTGAAAAGTAATGCTAATTGGAAATGATAATCCCAACTATGCAAATTCTCTTCTTAAACCCTTGTACTCCGAGTGGAGCATAGGTCATCTACAAGTCTCCTCCACTTCACTCTGTTTTGAGACAAAACTTCTAGCAGACTCCAGGAGTACCTTAGCTGTTGTCCTTCAATCTCAGTAGATCTTATCCACGTTGTCCAAGGTCTTCCCCTTTTGCGTTTTCCTTGCGGATTCCATGTGAGCGCTTGATGGTCTATGTTGGATGATGGTTTTCTGGGAGTGTGGCCCAGCCATTCCCCACTTTCTTCTCTTGATTTGAATGCCAACTGGTTTTTGTCCTGCTCTGTTCCAAAGCTCCTCATTTGTGACAGTCTTGCCATTTGATGCGAAGGATGTACCTCAGGCATCTGTTTATGAATGTCTGTAGCTTGTGATTTGAAGACTTTTTAGTATGCCAGGTCTCGCCTCCATACAAGAGTGCACTCTTCACATCTGTGTTGAAGATCTGCAGTTTCGTCTTCGCAGATATTATTTGTGAGCTCCATATGGGACAAAGAGTCTTAATTGCAGCTGCTGCTTTCCCTGTCTTAGCACTGATATCCTGGTATGTTCTTCTGGCTCTGCCCATAATACTCCCCAAGTAAGTGAACTGTTCCACATCTTCCAGGTCATTCCCTCCCAGTGTGATGACGTTGTTGTTGGATTGGTTGATCCTCATTGTCTTGGTCTTTCTCTTGTTAATGCTCAGTCCAATCATTAAGGCAGTTTTATCTAGTGTTGTGACCTTTTCTTCCATGCTTTCATGTTGGCATGAAAGGAGGGCAACAGCGTCAACAAAATCCATGTCCTCTAACTGTTTGAAAGGTGTCCACTGAATGCCCTGTTGATAGCCAGATACAATAATGGATTTTACATTAACTGTTACCATGCCAGAAAGAGATCTTGGACTCACCATGGGTAATTCTCTGAAAGTTTCTACTTTTTGTGCAGTGGCAATCACAAACGCTATCGGTATGTTAAGGATTATTAGGAAAGGGATAAAACAGAAAATCCCATTATGCCACTACATAAATCCATAGAACACCTGCACCCAGAATACTCTGTCCAGTTGTGGAACAGGAAATTATTCAGAGAAGGGCATATACTTGATAATACTGGTCTAAAGAGGCTCTCCAGAACTTATTGTTTAAATAATTGTTATTAATAAACTGGAAGAAAATACAAAATCATTGCTGGTGACATATGTGAGTGACAAAATATGAGCAAAGTGATAAGGCTGACGCCAGGACAGTTATATAGAGTGATCTGTATCCTTTGGGAAGCTGGACCCATGTGAACAAAACAGGTTTTCACAGAGCCAAATGTAAGGTCCTATCCTAGCCCCAAAGCACGCAGGCTACATCCTTGGACTGGGGAACTGTACCCAGGCAAGCAACAACTCTGAGGATTTAGGGTTCATGCCGGACAAGTTGCTCAACAGGAGCTCCCAGGACGATACTGTGGTGAATAAGGCAAAAGCCATCAATAGACATATGAGCAGAGGAGTGATTAGGGAAGTGACATAGCATTAGTGAGACTGAGTTTGGATACTGCAACCTGTTTTAGGGCTTACATTTTAAAAAGATGTTAAAAAATTGGAGATGGGTCAGCAAAGAACTCGATGTTTTGACGGCTAAAGAAAAATGCCTTCTTGGAGGCTATTGAAAGGAGCCCAATCTTTTTAGCTTCTACAAAAGAAGGCTGAGAGAGAACTTAATTGAAGTGTCTAAATGCCTTCCTGAAGAGAAAATGTCAAGTATTAAAGGGCTGTTTAATGTTGCAGAAAAAGGAAGACAAGACCACTGGCTGGAAGGTGAAAACAGACAAATTCATATTAGAAAAAAGGAACAAATATTTCACAGTGAGGATGATTCACCATTGGAACAAACTACCACAGCAAGTGACAGACTCCACATTTTTTGATGTCTTCTAATGAAGACTAGATGACTTTCTGGTGTGTGCTTGAATCAAAACTTAGCTATGATAATATACAGGAGGGCTGGGATATGCAGGGGTCAGATTCAATGCTCTAATGGTCCTTTCTGACCTTAAAGTCTACTAATTAATGTAAAAACTGAGTGCAGCATAGAAAGGGATCTCCAGACTCAGTTGTCATTAAGTGGATGACCCAGAGGAAGTCACTCAAGCATTCAAAGAGGCGAACTAGGGTCAGGACACTAGCCTCGTAAGGGAGGGGAGAATGTAGCAGTGACATCACAAAGGCCTGTTGCAGGACCTCAGACTATTGGGGGATGGTGGTGGGAAGATGGTGACCTCATAAAGAGACTCTGATATCAGCCAGTCAGGATTGAAGTACAAGGCAGAGGCAGCCTCAGAGATTCTCATGGCTTGGCAGCAGCAAGGCTCCCTAGCAAGGTCTCTCCTTGGGGACTAAGAGAGAATTAGGATTAATGTACATGAGCATGAGGACCAACCTGATTGGAATTTTCTCCTTCCCGACTACTGATTTTGTAGTCCCTGTTTAGGAGGTAAGAACCTCAGGCCTGGTTTCCACTGGGGAGTTATTTTGAAATAACAAGTGGAGTGTCCACAATACCAACCCCATTATTTCAAAATAAGGGGCTGGTTATTTTGAAATAATAACTCCTACTTGTCATGAGGAATGATGCTTATTTTGAAATTGTTATTTCAAAATAGTGTTAGTGTGGACATTCAATGTGGATACACTATTTTGAAATAATTCTGTACTATTTCGATGGTGCCTTATAGTGTGGATGAGTTATTTTGGGAGTTACTATTTTGAACTAACTTGTTTCAAAATAGTTTCCTAGTACAGACATGCCCTCAGAGAGATTTGGAATCTGTTTAGTCTGATCCACCAAATACTAGCTGAATTTTAGGTATAGAAATTATTAGGGCAAGGTGATTTGATTTCCTATTAAGGAATGTGTTCCATAGAATCACTAGGGACACTGGGTGCTTGTCCTTTTCAGCTTCCCTTTCCTCCTTCCCTCCCTCTTTCTCTTCTTCTTTTGCTTCTTTTCTCCTTTTTCTATTCCTCCATGCCTTCACCCAGGAGTATTTGTGTGTGTACAAAAATCTGAAATTGTGAACTTGACCAATTTGGAAAATCTCTGGCTGTGAATTTGGCGAGAAGGCACTGTGAATTTGATATAGCCCTATCTATGGCCTATTCAGTGGCAATTGTGGGAAATAGTTTGCCACAAATTTGTGGCCATGTTGGACTTTGGCTGCACTTGGGGATTCCCCAATGACACTTTCTCAAACTAGGTCTCCCAACCCTAAAGGGCTGTCATGAATGGGAGCTTCAAAGGAGAGCCTAACTTATCTGGAGAGCGAGGAAAGGGTTAAGCTAACCTTAAGCTATTCTGCACCTGAGGGAGGGGGCTTTGGGCATTGAGTCAATGAAATGCAGCTAAAGAATTTCAAATTGGGAGAAGCAGTTTCCTTTGTTAGAGAGAGAGAGGGGAATCTTCTCCAGGCATGGAGGGAAGACATAAACTTCCCCAAAAACAGATCTGCTGGATTCATCAGAATGTGAGATTAGGAAAAAGTTTAGGTAGTCTGTCAGGTTTATTGTTTGGGGCTTGGAAATTATAGTAATTCCTCATTTAACATGTGCCCGCTTAACATGAGGGTACTATGCTCTTGCCCAGGGGGCTGCTGTGGAGCCTGCAGGGTTGGGGCGCAAAAAGTCTGGAAATAGCTTCCTACCCACCACTGCAGAGCTTAGTTGAGGGGCAGAGAAACTTCCCCATCCCAGATTTGTGTGGGGCTTTGGCACATGCAGGGTTGGCTTCTCCTGGATCTGATTCTCCACACAGTGCCAGAAGCTGGGGGGAATATGGAGGAGCAGCGGGGCTGGAGGATGAATGGCCACAGCAGGGAGAGGACAGTGACAGGGGAAGCATGTAAAGGGCAGTATGTGGTGTGCAGCAGAAATGACACATAACTGGCCATTGCCAGCTTACACTCACCAACCACTGCAGCAAGCAACCAGTGCTAGCTGGAAACAGGACTGGGGGTAAAGGAGGACTGCTGGTCAAGAGGAGACACCATAGCAGGGACTGCACTGATGGACCAGCAGAGGGACTGGCTGGTCCCACATGCTGCAGCTGTACCCAGCCTCCTGCCTTGCAATCCCAGCCCCATCAACAGCAACTGGATCCATCCCTCCATCCACTCACCACTGTGGATGGGCAGCTGATGAGCAATGATCTAGCCAGCATCAGAATGGACCCACCAGTACTGATGGTATGGAGAGACAGGAAAAACGAGACAACTGGCCCATTTTTTTTAAAGTCAGGACACCTGGAAGAAAACTGTCCCTTTAAAAATGGTCACCTTACATATTCTAGTATTATCCTGAGCCCCAGGTGAAAAAAGGGGGTTTCCATCCCATAGTGTATTTTTAACTAAAAGACATATATGCAGCAAGGAGGCTCATCCTTTTTACATTCTGTCCTGTTTGTTTGGATTCCAGCACTGTCTTGAATAGTATCATCTCTGAATGAATATTCATAACAGAATTTTTTTCTTTTGGCTTTGGATAAGGAAAATGCCATTCTACTGAAGGGATTAAATCAGTCTGCGATATGACTGGCTGAAATCAATTTCATTGGGTGTAATATTTTATTACAGAAATGCCACAAAATCTGTCCCAAGCAAGACTCTTCAACAGTGTCTGTATACCTATATGTGTGACCCAGGAAGAAAATAAAATACAGATTTGAAGTGCTCTGTGAAGACCTCCTACAGCAACATGGTTAAGAAGATGCAGACAGTGATTTATCTGTGAAATTCCTGGAGTGAAGGAGAAGTCTTGAAGCTGTAGCCTGAGGTAAATCTGTCATAATATGATCCAAATGGTAATGCAGACCACAAAAATATTATAGTGAGCAAATGGGAAAAGTAGAAAGGAAAAAGTACATTCCCCAACATGGAAAGTGAATGATTAGAGCTAGGAAACAAATTATTTTTAAGTGATATTTTCCTGATTCAACACTCTACTAAATAAATTACTAAATAAAATAAGAAAAACTTAAAAAAGATAAGAAATGGGTTTTGCCCATGAAAGCTCATGATACCATTTACATGTTTTGTTAGTCTTTAAAGTGCTACCAGACTATTTGTTTTTTAAGTTTTTCCTGTTACAGACTAACTCGGCTTAAGCTTTTAAATAAAATAGGTAATTTCTTAATGCACTTTGCAACATAATACATTTTTTGTGAAATAAATTGGATTCTATATACTTGATCTTTTAATTTGGGAGTTACAATAACTAATTTCCTATTCTCCCCTCCTTCCAGTGTTAATTATTTTTCCCATAAAAACTAATTTGGATGTCTCAAATTCATTTTTACTTTAGGCCAAAATATAGACAGAGACACATACACATGTGTATGTATTTTACTAATCAGATGCGGGTCCATTACTAATGCAGATATCTAATATAGCCTTGCTACATACTTTGAAAATGTTGGCCTTTAATGAGCAGAGGCAAGAGAACAGTTTAATCACAACCGGTTCTGCATGCAAACTATTTAATTTTGGGCTGTCCCATCAGTTCTGCTTCCTTTCCTACTCACACATATTAAATAGGGAAAGTGAAAGCACTGGGTCTGCAAATAAGTGGACAGAGAGAAATACTTGGGTTGAAATCCATGGGTTTGCAGTGCCTGTAGTTCTGCTGCCAGAGCTTCCTGCTCTGTTAATGGGGAGTTTACTGCTGCCCCTTGTGGCAGGTTGCTCAGCTCTACTGAAAACCAAGCTCCTCGGGAATGCTGGGAATGTTGAGTCAGGGACTGGCAAACCAGAGAGCCAGGCTCGCAGCTTACTGAGGGAGACTCGCTGAGGGACAGAAAGACGAGGGATGGAAATACACAAACCTCTTCTGACTGCAGCAGACTCCCTCTCTCCTTCGCCTCTTAAATGTTCGCCTGCTTCAGCTCTTCACGCTGCCTCTTTCCTCTGTGTAATCAGCTATCAGCTAGACTTGATGTTGTAAAATCCATGTGAGGAGGAAAGACAGATGCAATGATTTGAAAGGTGAGAAGCTTAAGCAAGAATATGGCTATAATAGATTTTTGTGTATTAATTTAAATTAACAAAATTGTTATATATTGTTGTCTAAAATTATGTAGTGGTTGAAAATTAAGAAAGAAATGGCAAAAAAGGCTTTTTTTACCCCTTTAATACATTGCCATAAATGTGACCAAGTGCAATCTTATTCTAGTAGCAATATGTGCCTCTCCCTACAGAACCATCATCTACATACCTTTCTTGCAATTTCACCTAAAATCAGCCATATAATTGTCATTTTTGTAAACAGTTTACAAATATTATTATTTTATTAAAGCCTAGCATGGAATTGATGTGAATTGAAATTTCTTCGCTTTGTAGCCCATATAATTTGTAAAGCTTGATGGGTTTTTAAAAAAAAAGACAAACTGTCAGGAAAAAAACGGATTTATTTTTTTCTTTTTGTGACTGGGAAAAGGAAATCAGTCAGACTAACAGGGTATTATTTTGGAGTTATATAATGAATGAATGAATACTTAGTGGGTTGCACGTTTACAATGCTGTGTGGGTTTTAAGGATCATTTTAGTGGCACAAGATTATGATGCAGATGAGAAAACCCAGGAACCTATGTATCATACATACATTTTTTTCTTAAAAAGCTAGAGTAATAATGTAATGGGGGAGAAGGGTGGTGTCTGTTTTATTAGAGTGTGATTGATTTCTAGGCGGCTACCTGCTAAGCGTTGTGATGGATGGAAGGGAATCTACTCCCTTAGCGGCGAATTGATATTTCCCTTTTGATGGACAATTCAGCCGGCCACTTGCATTGGCAGAAACTAGCTCGTTGCACTGAGCACGGCCAATAAATGTAGCCAAGAGGAGGGCAAAACCCACTTGCCAGGGATAGTTTCCTGCTCTGGATTTTTAAATCAAGGGTTTCACTTTTAACCATTTGTTATTTTGCTAGTCAGATTCTGGTCCTCTCTCAGCGCTTTCAGGGCCCCCTTTTGCACAGCTCCACCGAAGGGAGGAGGAGCCTTTCTCTAGAGTCTAGCCCCTCTCCCTGGCCCCCCCCGGGCGGGCAGCATTCTCCCCCTAAGTGGTTGCTGCGCTGCTCCTTCGCTTTCCTTAGGGCTCACGGGGCGGGGGTTAGAGAGCCGCGGCCCCCTTTACGTGCCGCCCCGCGGGAGGACAGGACGTGCTAGGCCAACTCCCCCGCTATGCTATCAGGCAACTCCTCGAGGGCCTTCCCCAGCCGCTCCGGCGCTTCCCTCGCGCCGGCAGCCAACATCCCTAAGCTCCCTCCCAGCACTCAGTGCACTGAGAGGCTTCGCTGTGCGCCCCCAGGGCTATCCTCGCATGCTGGGTGTGATGAGCACCACCAGTCCCCAGGACTCTTGAGGCTTCCAGCCTCTCTCTTGGCGTGGCACGTGTGTGAACTGACCTTCCCCCTGCCCCCGAAGACGAGGAGGTGCTTTCTCCTCTGAGCCCGTTCCAGGGGCGCTGCAGCTTCTGGCGCTGGGCTGGTGGAGCGGGAAAATTCCTCCTGTTTCTGTGGCGGCAAGATGCGCCCCCCCTCCCCCCGCCGCTCCAAGGGCGAGGGGAGGGTGCCCCTCACAGCGCCGCTCGCGGTTTGAGAGTCGCGCCCAGGCTCCTGGCTAGCTAGGGAGGAAATGGGCTCAGTTCGGCTCCTTTCTTTGCCCACTGGGGGAAGGAGGAGAGACAACCGCCCCACGAGCAGAAGCGGCTTCCCATCTCCTTTAGATGCCCCCAGAGAAGGAGAGGGAAGAGGCCACCCCCTCTCTTCATCTGCTAATGAGGTGGATGAAAGGCTCCCCACAGCTCTCCTTCCTCAGTGGGTATGTTGGTGAGACACTTCTCCCAAATTAGGGTTGCCAGGTGTCCAGTTTTGAACCAGAAAGTCCAGGATTTGAGTTTTCTGTTCCGGAAACAAATTGAGAAAATATAAATGAAAAAATATGAATGTCCAGTATTTTCTAAATAAGATGTAATGTAAATTGTGATGTAATGTCAAGTGTGTCTGGTGTTTGTGTTGAAACCATCTGGCAACCCTGTCTCCCAAACTGCTCTTATTGGTCTGTGGCAGAAGGGAAGACTATTTCCCAAGTCAACTGCGGTGGTAGGGAAGGGAAAAAGTTGACCCATCTTCCTCACTGCTCCATGGATGGGTGAAGAAGAACATGTCTGGGTCCCCTGAATTGTCTCCTG